GTATCAAAAAAGGGTAAAATTCCTAAATGTCCGAATAGGCTCAAACTTATAGATGTGGTCGACAACACACTGATAAGAAGGACTCTACTAGACACGGCTCTGAGACATCCTAGGACACTTTAAAACCTTAGGCTCTGATACCAAGTTTTTCACCCCCCAAAAACCGAGGAGCGCGACCGGAGCTCAACCGAGTAAACCCGACTGAGCAAGCCTATTGGGTTTCATTCTACCCGAACTAATTCATGAATAAAGAGGAGATGAACTCCATTAATCATACTTCGTAATTATTTCATTAACAACTTCCATTTCTATTTCCATTAGCAGTTTCAACCATAATATCCAAAATATGACAATTTTTATAGATATGAAGAAAAACATATTTGCCAAATACCAATATTCCTAATTTAATTTTCAATATCAAACACCGCCCATAACCGACGTACGGACCCCCTAAGTACAATTGAAGAGTAATATGGAAATGCAGGCAACAAGGCTCCAGCTATACCTCAAAATACGAAGTACACGATAACCAAATAACACAGGACCCCGAAATGAAGTGGGGATCACCAAGTCGGCTGAAAAGAGGATAGGCCACTAGCTGCAACCAACACTGTATGCTATGGAACCACCTACATCCATTTAAAGATATAGCGCCCCCGACAAAAGAGACGTTAGTACTGTCGAATAGTACTAGTATGTAATGCTAAAAATCATCTTTCAAAATAGAATAACCATACAAGAAAAGAAAAGCCATAGAAACAACAAGTCACAATCAAATGCACAATCAACAATTTTCAAAATACGAAAGTAATACATATGTTTAGTTGGGAGATCTTTAGTACCGATAATAACACAGTTCATGATACCACTATCCACAATACCATTGTTCACAATGCCACTATTCATAATGCCACTGTACTCTTGGCATGGAATCTGATCACGACCCGATTGGCTAGGTCATCTCACTGGAGACGTTCTTTATAATCTCAATTCCAAATGATTTTCCATAACCTTAGGTTGGGACATTTTAATATTGTTACACCATCATCCACAATGCCACCGCTTTCTTGCGTGGAGTCCGATAACGACCAGACCGGCTAAGTTGTCTCATTTGAGACATGTAACTCAATCACAATTTCATTTTCACTTTCCAGTTTAAACATCAGCACAGTACCACCATGTGTGCGGCATGGCGTCCGATACGGCCCGATCGGCTAGGCCGTCTCACCGAGACATTTCCATATTTCATCAATTATCTCATTTCAAATTTATTTCACATATATCAATTCATCGGCACTTGGGGCCACAATTATTACAACATACTTGGCACTACACCACATTTCGTAACCCAACATCCTTTCCCCCACATTTCACATCATTTCCACTTTCAATATTACACCTTTCAATTGAAAATGATAAGCACATATGAGAGCAATTATAATTCGTAAGCGTAAAGAGGATTTTACATATTTCGGCATAACAATCTCAATTGAAACTCAACTTGAAGTCTAGGCATTTTAGCACATGTTCCACATTCTTCACACATTCTCAATTGACAAAATAGCATAACGAAAGCATTGAGACACACCTTGCACATATATTCTTGCAACACAAATTCATTTAAAATAGCAACCACTACATCGATCAATATTCGAAACTTACAACATTTGCATGGACACCAAGGGGGTTCGATTTCTAAGAAGAGAGGGTCTTAGCCATAGATACCTCAATAGATCTTTTAGGGAAATTCTACTTTTTGAAGTCATCTTAAACAATTGAGTCAAGGCTCATTTCGTAATCTGTTTCATATATTTTCTCATTTCATAGGCATCACTAGGCATAATTATAGACGTTATCCACACTCTATTTTCCCAGTTCATTTAATTCATTTTCAAACATCTTCATAGTTTATCAGCAACTAGACTCACTCAACCAGGACATTTAGTACACATACGAGCAATTAGGGGTATTAAGCATATCGAGTTTTCCTCACCTAATTGGTATACCAGTTTTAAGTTAAGGTACAACTCAAAGCCATACCATTTTATAAGCAACCCATACTTTAAACATCTATCGTTCAATTTAAGGCTCGTTCAGAATAATTAAGTTTTATGAGTTTATAGAGGATAACTTGGAACATAGAAATTAGGGGGTTTGGGCCGATCATACTTAAACTTACGAAAACATTATAGAATTCAATTCCGAGAGAGGAAGTTTATCTAACATACCTAGTTGAGCTATCCTTAAGTTACTACAACGCACCAACACCTCTAGCAATAATAATCTATAAGGAGATAGCGAAAATCGATTAATAATTAGAAAGATTTCCCATGGTGTAACTCTCTTAGGAATTTCATCAAACACCTAATCATGTGAAATAGACTACAAGGTTGTACAATTGAAATTCCTTCTTCCCTCAACCAATTTTAATAAGAACAACCCAAAATAGTTCATTAATCCCACATACTGTAGCTTAGTATCACATGCATGACCTATTTCTAATCCTACAATATATTTTTGAACTCATAACCTCTTATATGAAATCTTAGAAGTAGGACTTACCCGGAAGGATAGTGAGCTAGAGATTAGCTTCCTTGATTCTTGAGAATTTGTGCAAGATTGGCTGATTGGAAGGATAGGTTCCCTCTTTCTCTCTCTATATGCTCTCACCTCTATCTAGATTCATTAGAAAAAAGCCCCAAATAGAGCCCCAAAGCCTATTTATCAAAATTGGGGTCGGATATGAAAATTTCGAAAATGACCCCCGAGTAAATTATGTGGTGCAATTATGCTATAGCATAATCGTTTTGTGGGCGGCAGAATTGCAGCATAATCAAATTTGCATAATCCATTATGCAACAGCATAATAGTTTACCCGTCTCTGCTTCACTATGCGATGCTTATGTGGTCCGCGGAACCGTTTTGCGGTCGCAAAATTGATCGCAGATCAAGCCTTTGGTAATTTGATCATAACCTTGTGTAGGTATGTCCAAGTGACGAACAGTTTGAAGAGTTAGAAACTAGACTTGAAGATGTTTCTATTGATAGGTTGTTCATCACATAATACCATATATATATGTAGATATGCTCATCCAAAGTTTGGATTTGTGCGAACTCATTTGGAATTTTAGCCTATTATGAAATTTTCTAACTTGACTTAGACTTAGGCCACTCATTAGACCCCACATTACTTATTATATGACTTATACACTTATTTACCATATCCAATTGATATACATCATTTTAATAGCACATAAAATATTATAATTGGCCTACCTGGTACCATGAAATCCTAAATTACTTAGCGAACTTTTTTAGGGCCCTACACAAACTTGCCCTAGAGCCTACAATCCGTTAGGTAACTAGGTGGAAGTCATGACCCTAAATCTTTAATAAACTTGAAAAACAACAATGCCAAAAACATTGTCTGTTAGCTTTCAATTAGAAGCATTAGCATACAAACTAGAAGTAGAAAAGAAACAACTGAATATGTGGAAGTGCAATCTTGGGCACATCATACACTAGAGGAGGTATATATCTAATCCCACATAAAGCTCTCTGTGGAATCGACCCCGTCTTACGATTGGTATTAATAATTGCATCGATCGCCTCACAATCCCAATAGTGGCGTGAGTTTGGGCGACATCAGTATCAACCCTGGACAGCCATTAAATCTCAAATTTTGGCAGATTTCGAGGCCAGCTTTACGTCGGCCCCATATACTAATAGTCAAAAGAGAGTTGTTGGTAAACTCGAGGACGTTTTCGAGAATCCGGACCCTCTTTACGAACGGTTCCTCGAACACAAAGGGGTCCGGGCTTGGCATCATAGTGAAGCCACCCATAGGCAATATAGTTAGACAATCTATTAGAACTGTGAAATTGACTAACAACGAGGCCATATATGAGGCCATGATTGCAGGTCTAAAAGTGGCAAAAGCTTGGGGGCGGAGGTGATCGAAGCTAAGTGTGACTCCCTCATTGTGGTACATAAAGTTAACAAAACATTCGAAATCAGAGAAGAACGAATGCGAAGGTACCTAAATAAGTTATAGGTAACATTACATCGGTTCCAATAGTGGACTTTGCAGCACGTGCCTCGAGATCAAAATAGTGAGGCCGATGTCCTTGCAAACATAGGGTCGTCAGTCGAAGACAAGGAGCCCAAGTCGGGGGCAGTTGTACAACTCATGAGGTCGGTAGTAGAAGAAGGCCACGCCAAAATAAACTCCACAAGCTTAACCTGGGATTAGAGAAATAAATACGTAGAGTACCTGAAGACCAGGAAACTTCCCTCAGATCCAAAAGAATCAAGGGCCCTGCGCCCAAAGGCAGTCTGATTCAGCTTGTCCGAGGATGGAACCTTGTTGAGAAGAATGTTCGATAGTCCGCTAGCAATATGTCTAGGACTGGGAGATACCAAGTATGTTCTGAGGGAAGTTCATGAGGGCACCTGTGAAAATCATTCAGGTGCCGAATCATTGGTTCAAAAGGTGATCAAAGCCGGCTATTACTGGATCGACATGGAAAAAGATGCGAAAGAGTTCGCACAAAAATGTGACAAGTGCCAAAGATATGCGCCGATGATTCACCAACCCGGGGAACTGTTGCATTCGATCTTGTTGCCATGGCCATTCATGAAGTGGGAAATGGATATCGTCGGCCCTCTTCCATGGACACCGAGTAAGGCTCATTTTATCTTATTTATGACTGACTATATTTCTAAGTGGGTTAAAGCATATGCATTCGAGAAGGTCAGGGAGAAGGAAGTCATCGACCTCATTTGGGACCACATCATATGTCGGTTAGAGATGCCATCCGAAACGGTATGTGACAGCGGGAAACAATTATCGGTAGTAAAGTGACTAAGTTTCTCGAAGATCATAGGATCAAAATAATCTTATCGACACCTTATCACCCTAGTGGGAGCGGATAAGCCGAATCGATCAACAAAACCATAATCTAAAACCTTATGAAAAGGTTGACCGACGCCATGGGAAAATGGAAGGAGATCTTGCCCGAAGTTCTTTGGGCATATCGCACAGCCTCGAAGTCAGTGTCGAGGCTACCCCATTCTCATTGGTTTATGGTGTCGAAGCTCTAATACGGGTCAAAGTCGGGGAGCCAAGTATCAGATTCTGGTATACAATAGAGGAATCAAATTATGAGGCATTGAATACGATCCTGGAGCTATTGGATGAAAGGCATGAAGTCGCCCTTATTCGATTGGCCACCCAAAAGCAACGGATCGAGAGGTATTACAATCGAAGGGCCATCCTTCGATACTTCAACGTTGGGGACTTGGTACTAAGGAAGGTCACACTAAATCCCCGGAATCCGAATGAAGGGAAGTTGGGTCCGAACTGGGTAGGACCGTACAAGATTCTTGAGGTCACCGGGAAAGGATCCTATAAGCTCGAAATGATGAATGGAGAACAACCAATTGTAACGTTACTCACCTAAAATGATATTACTACTAAGGTACGACCCTATTTCATTTACTTTTATTTTCGGACTAAACACTTTGATGAGTGGTGATTTTACCATTTATTCTGGGCTGTTTTCTTTAGTTTTTGTGTCCTTTAATTTCAAAATGAGGTGATTTATGGTGTGCATTGCTATATTTTCAGGTAAATGATGCCATGAAGAGAGTTGAATTCAATTCAAGTGGAATTGTGCAAAAAAAGTTAAGAAAGTGCAAATTCCTTCAATGATTCCGCATTTGCGCAACACTACTCACTTTTGTGAGCTCGCTTATGTTACTAGAGGTCCACATCTCCGCATATCACCAATTTCCCATTGTGACCACATCTGCGGTTGACAATGCGCATCTATGGAGGCGCTGTTGTAGCGAAATGTCTGCATCTGTGGAGTAGGCAGTTCCCCAGAGGTTGCGCATCTGCAAAAGGAAGTCTGCTTTTGTGGAGCCGCACCTGCGATGATATTTCTGCAGGTGTGGTCGGGCTTCAGCTGAGGACAGTGTTGGAATTTCACATTTTCTCGATTCCAAACCCACAAATACACGACCTAGCTTACTGGAAATAGATCTTTGGCTTATTTTTCAGTCCTTGGACTAGACAAGACAAGTTTGGAAGCTAGGTTTCTTGCACATACACTAGAGTCGAGGGACATCAGTTAAGGCACTGCCCTGTCAACCTAAAGTCACCAACTAAGTCACTCCTTGCTTCATCATTCTCAACACCGCATAATTTTCCTTGTTGTATATGTACATCTATATTGAAGAGCAAACATAAATATGGTCTTAACAAAAAACTGAATCACAAAACATTGCATGTATCTACTCATAGAACGAGACGCATTGTTCGTGATGACACATTGTTCGTGAAGCCTCTTTATGACAATTACCTTGCTTACAACCTCTTGAGAAATTGAGTTCTATAATGATTTCCTTGAATTGAGTTATAACTCTAGGTTAATACTTCCCACTTGTTTCCCGAAATTCTCGACAAGGGACTACACATTATCAATTTCTTATAGAACCTTATGATTCAAATGGATAACATCTACTCACTTGTGCTTGCGCGTGCACCACCATAATGTCACTACTAGAAACTGGAGCTATGGCAACGCTTTTTATAGCCACTGTTCTGTAACCGTTGCTATAGATGGTCTGTTGCAACGATTTCAACCGTTGCGTAAGGTAATTGATACTATTGGCACAGTTTAGCCTCTAAACCGTTGCCGTAGTCTAAAAACTGTTAAAATAGATTTTTTATGGCAACGGTTTTGGACAACTGTAACAATAAGTTTATCTATGGTAACGGGTATTTGCAATTTTAATGTACGGCAACGGTTACGAATTCCCTCTAAAATTTCCCCCAAATTTTGGACGGTCCGCCAAAAGATATATAGACCCGATTCTATATTATATATATTTTATATTTAATATTTAATAAAATAATAAAACCTAAAAATATACCTATACACACGGAGATTACGAGACAAACACTATCTCTTCCAAAAGTTCCGACCTCTCTCTCCCAAAAACCTTCATCAGTTCGCCGGAGATTAAGAGGAAGACGAACCACCATCTGCTCCCTATCATTTTGATTTCAATCTGTAGTAAGTCACTGATTTGGCGAGAAGTTGGAATTCTCTAGATCTTCAGAAGTTGCATGTCTTCTTAGAGCTTACATCCTCTGGCCACAAGGTTTGTTTTAATCTTCATACTTGTATATTCCATTTTCAGATCCATTTTTCTCCATCTGTTCGGTAATGCATCTCGAAAATTGGTTGAGTACAGATTTCTAGGTTGCTCAGTATTCTAATTTGGTAGATATCACATTTTTGAGTAATTTGGGAAAAAGTGTAAATTAGTCAGTTGTCTGGATGTTAATACATGATTCAATTTGACTTGCAATCAGAGAGTGATCTATGATTTTAACTTAGTGATAGCATAGTGGCACTGTACTCACTGATCCTTTCCGACTGAGTCTGTGCTATGTGTGTGTGTGTGTGTGTGTGTTGTGTGTGCAATGTGTGCGTGTGTGTGTATGTATGCAATGTCTGCGTCTATGTATGTATGTACATCAAGCTAGCTCTGGATAACTTGTGCAATTTTATCTAGAAATCTGTTAGAAATTCTGTCAAACTGCAGATACTTATAATAATGTTGACAGCTCTCTTTCCTATTTTCCTCTCCATTTTTAGCTTTTAGAATCAATATTAACTGATTTGGGTAATTACATTTTTGTCTCCATAAAGTTATTAGATTAAAATACTGGAAAATACATTTTATATTTATCAAAATGTCTCCTCCCGTATATTTGAATCTATGGTAGTTTTCCATGAAAGCTGAAGTGTTCTACATTAAATAAGTATTTACAATTCCAATCTCCTCCCGTATCTGTATATATTCTATTTGCATGTCCAAAAGCCTAATTATTTCCTTTTCTACTTATTCACATCCTCACTCGAATTAGATTGTATGTTATCTATTGCCTAAGACATATGAAGAATTAGATATTTCCATAAGCGGTGCAAATAGTAAATAATGCTCCAGGTGTTATATTTGAATGATGGTGACATTTCGTTTCCTGTGATGTGGACTTGGTGTGAGACTAATTCTTCTATCATCACGAGAGAAGAAAGACCTGTTCTTGTGTATTGTATTTATACAACTCTGACCTGCCTTCAAGTGTAAATTTTATGTAGTTTCTTGTTAAATTATTTGAACAAGCGTAATATGTCGGTTGCTGCTGTTTTAACTTCCAATAATTTAATTGCATAGATGGTATATTGGCACAGACATACAGTAGTGGTGAAGTAGCTTAATTTTCTGTCCATTTCACAAAATTGGATTTTGTTGTATAGATATATCAGTTGGTTATCATGCCAAAAAATGAGATATTTTGTTCTACATTATTGCCTTGTTGCAAATAATGCCACCTTTGAACACGTAGCTGCTTTCTTTCTCTGATTGTTGCAAAACAAATTGGTGCATGCACATATTACTTTTGGGATAGTCTTAGCTGTAAAGTCCATAGACTTGACTGTCTCATGGGCTTATTTCACAAATGGGATAATATTGACAAGATTTTGTAGAGTTAGCTTTCTTCCTTTTCCACCAATTTTAAGGATTGTGGGTTTATAATGCTTCCACCGCTGTCTGATTTGTCATTTTTTATGGCTTTGCATTCTATGTTTTTGTGTGCGTCTTTTTTGAGTGTTTCAATTAGCCTTTTGTATTGTCAGTTGTATAATTTTCTGACATGGGTATAAAAACTTAACTATCTCCAAATCTTTCATGTGCAGATGTCCACAGTTGGTGGAAAAGTTTCTGGATCATCAGCTTTGGAAAGTCGCAGTGGCTTTAGTGTGGATTCACCTAAGTTCACGGCAGGTGACTACGTTTCATTATCCATCCATGGATATGGTCATAAGGCTGAACAACAATATGGTCATAAAGCCGAACAACAATATGGTCTAAAGCTGAACAACAATATTCCGATAGAGTTTTTGATTATCCAACCCTTGATAGACACCAATATGCTGAACGACATAGCTCTTATGCTGGGAGAGATCTAACAAGCGAGCACGTGTTACGACCCTAGTTCACCAATTGTGAACACGTCATGACGGCACCTAGTCTTCACGACTAGGTAAGCCTAACACATTGCGGAAGTAACAACATTTGCGAAATTTATATTCGAAGCTAAATAACATGAGTAATATATACAGTTGCTGCCTGGCACATACACTTTAATACAAAATACTGAAATACCCTCCAAGACCCGGAAACCCACGGACAACACAGGCTATAAGAAATCTTATACTGCTCTAGTCACCAGAAAAGTCTAATACAAAGAGGGATCGAAATAACATCTAACAACTATGGATAAAATGAGAAGGAGACTTTGCGGATCTACGGACGTAGCAGATGTATACCTCAAGTCCCTAATACGCTCCATGACAGCTACTGGCGGTACGCCTGCTCAGAAGCACCTGGATCTGCACATGAAAAACATGCGCAGAAGAGGCGTGAGTACACCACAGCGGTACTCAGTAAGTGCCAAGCCAAACCTCGGTTGGGTAGTGACGAGGAAAAGGCCAGGGCCCTACTCAGACAGAAACAATAAAATAGCAAGATATTAACAGTATCGAAGTCTGAAGAAAACTAATGAACACAGCGATGTGATAAGACAGATCAATGAAATATAGAACTGCAAGACAAAACAGAAACACAGAGTAAATACAGCAAAATTACAAGAATACCGACGGGGGTCTCCCAGGATACCGTCCTGTAGCCCTTTTTCAACTGTCCAGTAGAACTTCCGGGATACCGTCCCGTAGCCCAAATCTCATATCGATATCAAAAGATCTCCCGGGATACCGTCCCGTAATCCAATCATCAGTGTTCAGGGGGATCTCCCGGGATACCGTCCCGTAGTCCCAAAATAAAAGTGCAGGGGAATCTCCCGGGATACCGTCCCATAGTCCCAAAATAAAAGTACAGGGGGATCTCCCGGGAATCAAACCCGTAGTCCCAAAGTAAACAATTAAGGGGGAACTCCCGGAATCCGCATCCGTAGTCCCAATATAAATGCGCAACCAACATCAACGAATTATTTAGAAATTTAAGTACAACAATACAAGGCATCAAATAATACTGGCCTAACATGCTCCACGTAATCACAGTTAAGACAATTTAAACAAATAGGCAGCTTGGATCAATTAAACATGCTCTTCTACGCTAGCACAGGCTATAAAAGCAAGTAAAGTAAGGCAATTATGAAAGAGAATCCAAATCAAGTATTTAGGTAAAAATCCGGGTTTCAACAATTTGCTCAAGTACGCGCTCGTCACCTCACGTACAAGGCATTCAATTATCAATTATCACATCCTAAGGGACGAAGTCCCCCACACAAGGTTAGGCAAGTCACTTACCTCGAACCGGTGCGAAGTCAACTAGGGAACGATGCCCTTGCCACGAGTATCCGACTCCAAATGGCCCAAATCTATTCAATTAAATTACAAATCGTAAATAATATTGCAAACAACTGATTCCACTATTGAAATTAAAGCTAAGGAGCGAAAATAGGTGAAATGACCAAAACGCCCCTCAGGCCAACGTCTCGGAACCGAATAATTTTTCACATTTTCAGAAACCTCGTACTCTCACGAGTCTAACCATATAAAAATCTCAGAAATCGGAGGTCGAATGCTCCCTCAAAACCCAATAGTTTAGTCAATG